ACACAGGCACAGGCACACAGAGTTATAGAGTAGGAGAGAGCAGGGTGAGGGAAACAGAGCAGAACATGGCAGTGTGAGAGACGCTGAGAGTGAGAGGGAGCATTGAGTGAGAGTGAAGTGTAAGAAAGACAGAGAGACAGAGGTGAGTGGGGATGGAGGGAGAGACACGAACAAGTGTGAGCAAGACAGAGATACAGAGACACACACACGCACACAGAGAGAGAGAAGGGGATTACTGCAGAAAATATCATAAACCCCGGGTTGCGAAGAAAGATTTGGAGAGCCAGAGACAGGGCAAGGGATGAGAGAAAGACAGACTGAAAGAGGGTCAGTGATGGAGAGAGAGAGAGAGAGAGAGAGACAGAGGAAGGGAGAGGGGCTACAGGAGCAGGAGGGAGGCAAAAAAGGAAGGAGATGGGGAAAAGGAGGAGAAAGAGAGAGGGTCAAACAGAGGAAGGATGGAGAAGAGAGGTATAACAAAGGAGAGGGAGTGTGACAGAGGACTTTAGAGAAGGGGGGAGAGAGAGAGAGAGGGGGAATGTGAAACTAAAGAGAGAGGATGGGGTTAAAAGGTAAACGATTGAGCAAAACAGGTTACCTGTTGCAGAGGAATCAACTTTGATGTGGTTCTGCCGGTCTACAGTGCGCACACCTGTGTGTGAGAGAGAGAGAGAGAGAGAGAATGTGAAAGGAGTCAGAGAGGAGGGGGAGGAGCAGCTGTTCGAAGCCCTCAACCCCAGAGAGACTGCCACAGCCCACCTTCCCACACCCCCCCCCCCCCCCCCCCGAAAGCCACCCCACGACCCACTCTCTCCGGAGAGAAAAGCCAACCTGTGCTACCTCTTTCAGCTTTTGTGCTCAGTCCCTTCAAAAATCAAACAATAAAATCTACTGGATCGACGATTGAGACACATAATGGGCCACCAGTAAAACAAACGGGCCAGATGGCCTCCTCCTGGTGACTGGTACCAGCTCCATGATCCAAGCCGGAGGGGGGAACCAGGGGGAAGGACTACGAAGAGGTCTTGGTACAGCCAGGCAGCACAGAAATAGACCCTTCGGTCAACTTGTCCATTCCAACCAGGTTTCTCAAAATAAACTCATCCCATTTGGCCCAAGTCCCTCTAAACCCTTCCTATCCATGTACCCATCCTTTTAAATGTTTTAACTGTACCAGCCTCTACACTTCTTCTGGCAGCTAGTTCCATACACGCACCACCCTCTGTGTGAAAAAGTTACCCCTCAGGTCCCTTTTAAATCTTTCCCCTCTCACCTTAAACCTATGCCCCTCTAGTTTTGGACTCCCCCAGCCTTGGGGAAAAGACCTTGGCTACTTACTCTATCCATGGCCCTCGTGATTTTACAGACCTCTGTAAGGTCACCCCTCAGTCCGACAGAAAAAAGTCCCAGCCTTTCCAGCCTCTCTTTATAACTCAAACCTTCCAGTCCCAGGAACATCCTGCTGAAGCTTTTCTGCACCCTTCCCAGTTTAATTACATCCTTCCTGTAGCAGGGTGACCAGAACTGAATACGGTACTCCAGAAGTGACCTCTTACCTCTGTATCTTTTGCTTCGTGTACAGAGGATTGCAACTACAAAGCACACACAGACTATAACAGCAGCTGACACGTAGAGAATGATGAGGTACTGAGGGTGAGCAGCTTTAAAGGGCAGACTGGTATTGCTGGAGGTATCTGCAGGAGAAAGGGGAAACTTTCAGCTCAATGTGGTTTTCCCTGTGGTAAAGCACTGTGATATTGTGTAGCTGCGACACAATGAAGCCAACATGTACAGTGACCATCCGTTAGCGATGCGCCATTCACACACACAGTTACCGAGCTCTGCCCCGGGACGTTGCATGGACTGGGAGGGACACATTCTCCACACACACCCCCAGCCCCCCAACCGCCTCCGCTCTGAGGGAGCGCGTCAGTTTCCAGAGCCCACACTGTGCTCTGAGCTGTCAATATCCCCACACATGGTGTCCGATTAGAATCCAGCAACATTCCCAGTGTAGAGGGAGCTTTACTCTGTACCTAACCCTGTGCTGCCCCTGTCCTGGGAGTGTTTGTTGGGGGACAGTGTAGAGAGAGCTCTACTCTTTTTTTCCCTCCTTCATTCATTAACGGGATGAGCGCGTCGCTGACCAGGCAGCATTTATTGCCTATCCCTAATTGCCCAGAGGGCAGTTCAAAGTCAACCACATTGCTGGGGGTCTGGAGTCACATGTAGGCCAGACCAGGTAAGGATGGCAGTTTCCTTCCCTAAAGGGCACTAGTGAACCAGATGGGTTCTTCCTGACAATGGATTCATGGTCATCATTAGATTCTTAATTCCAGATATTTTATTGAATTCAAATTCTACCATCTGCCATGGCAGGATTTGAACCCAGGTCCCCAGAACATTATCTGGGTTTCTGGATTAACAGTCCAGCGATAATACCACTAGGCCATCACCTCCCCTCTGTATCTAACCCTGTGCTGTCCTTATTCTGGGAGTGTTTGAATGGGGCGGTGGGGGTGGGGGGGAACATTGAGGGAGTTTTACTCTTTAAAAACCCCGTGCTGACCCTGTACTCTCTCCCTACTGGAAGCCGAGTGAGTACTGAAAAGATTGATATTGCGGTCTGGAGCTCAGGTCCCTGTGTTTTGTAGCGACAGTTCACAGCTCTGCGAACGGCGAGCTCTCTTTGAAAACACTTACATGCCCAAACAATGGAATCGAGGCGCTGCTGGATCCTGCTGTTAAAGACGGAACAGCGGACTGACGTTCCCACAGCAGCAATGATCCTGACGCTGCTCGTGACATTGTACAGGCCGGAGACAGGGTCCTGTTCCACTGAGGTGTTCACCTCGGTATCTCGGCCCAGAGGTCTCCCAGCATCATCTGTCCAGTTCACAACCGGAGCTGGGAAACCTCCAAAGGAATGGCAGCTCAAATTCACCGGAAGACCTGCACCCAGAGATTCTCCTCGTGAAGCTGATAACACAGGAGGCTGGTAGGGAGCTAGAGCAGGGAAATATATATTATTTCAGTTTCATACATTCACAGCCCCCTGTGTTACTGACTGTATCTGTACTGATGTTATTCCCTCTCCCTCACACTGTCACTCAGTAACCCCTCTCCCCCCAGCCCCCCGTGTTACTGACTGTATCTGTACTGATGTTATTCCCTCTCCCTCACACTGTCACTCAGTAACCCCTCTCCCCCCAGCCCCCCGTGTTACTGACTGTATCCCCACTGATGTTAATCCCTCTCCCTCACACTGTCACTCAGTAACCCCTCTC